TACCATAATTATTGTATTCCACAGCACACGATTCTGGTTAGTGATTATAACTGTTAGTTTACCAAATAATATTATGATCATGTCAATACTTGAGTACGTACTAGTGAATATACATATATTATATAGGTATTTACTAACCTAACTTATGGTACTAAAACGTGAAAAAAAAATTAATTAATTAAATAGGTAAGTGTTGATAAATTTCCTATGGTTTTATGTAAGACTTAAAGAAAACAACAACAGGTTGTAACACCATCGTTTGTAATATGTTTAAATATAAATCTAGCATAAAAATTTTAAAATTTATGATTTTGAATCCACCGAAAATTATTATTCAATTCAACAGATTAAATGGTTATTTCAATTTTGTTTCAGTTTTATCTACGGTTAGCTGGGAAGATTGGTGGACATACGATGGTATATCAGGTAAAGTATTTTATTCATATTTAAGTAATCATTATATAATTCGTTTGAAGTGGAATAWGCGTCATTATTAATTCATTTTAGATTCGAAAAAAATATAGAAGATAAGATAGTAGAAATTATTAAAACTAAATTTTAATTTAATCAAACAGTGGTGTTAATATAATATTCACCCATCGTATGACTTTGAATTTAACTGGTATTGAAGTCTAAAAATCATACTTAAAATGAAYTTTTTGATATCTGTATTTTAGATTGCGTTAGAACCTTTTAGATATCAGTCGAAATCTATTAAATACCGTCATAGATACATAATATTTAATTTGGTCAAGGACTGACGCTGATATTATTTTTCTGAAAAGGTAATCGTACTAATGTCAATATTTAAACGAGTAGTTGTTCAGTTATTCAACTTTATGTATTAAGGATAAAAGTTCAATGATGATGGATTTGGTAGGTATGAGCACAATAGTGATTAAAAATTTAACCAGTTGAGAATTAATCCATAAATATGGTTAAAAATGGTACAAGCGTAATATTACTTGATCCAATATTACATTTATTTTATTTTTTTGTRAACAAATTTTCAAGAACTATAAATTGTCATYAATACAACAATTTAAATAACTTAGATACTGCTGGTTTGAATTTTAGCTTGTGTAAATTTTCTGAAAAAAAATGTCTGCTAAATAATTTAGAGTAGAAATAGAGATGTTTTCATATTATATAAAATATAACTTTTTATCACCATAAAACACTCTCTTAAAGTAGTACAAACAATTTYAAATTTTTAAAAATATGGAATTAAATTGTATTTAAAAACTCCAAAAATTAAAGTTTGAATGATTTAATTATTAAAGGAAAACATTATTGTTGAACGTGTTTGTATAATCACCATATAAATATGCAAAAGAGTTTCTTAAATTGCATAATAATATAGTAAGAATGGTGGGAAATATAATGTCAATATTACTGTACGAATTTGGAATGGAAATCGTATGGACAATCTCATTTGAAATACCCAGCGCCGAGTACTAATGCAAGATCCCCAAGTAGCACTAAAAAAACATRAGAACTTTAAAATAATATGTACCCGTTATATTTATTTTAAAATTCTAAAATCAAAATTCGAATAAGCTTATTTTAAAAAGTGAAAAATGAGGCTGAGTATGTTTGGTGAGCGTATACTTTGTAAACACTATCTATTATAGTTTAAGTCTGATCATACAAACTCAACAACTGGTTTTCACAATACGTGGAATGTGCATAATCATCACGTGTCAATAGCTTATTACATATTATGTGTTCCGTTTTAATAAAATTCTTCTAAATTTATTTTCCACCCTAAACATTCGTTGTGATGTCGACTGCCAAAAAGAGATWAGCACAGGCGAACGCGGTGGACCTTGCATGTCTGGCACACTGCAATGTCAGACAGCGCAAAATTCAACAGACAAGACGTAGACAGACTGCGAGAGAAAACTAAAACAAAATACTATAAAAACAAACGTGACGTTTATGAAATAATAATAGAAAAACATTGCGACATTAATCTGCAGTTATGGCGTCAACTCGTACTGGGTCGGACGGAAATCCACTCCTTAATCGCTTTTTCCTTACATTATATTATTACTAACCGGAAGTGTGAGCCTATATAACGGTGCACCGTAACAGCTCTCATGGGTCCTACGAAAYGTCTGTTGTCTATGGGTTTATTTTGATCTCGTGGGGGAAATTCTTGTTGACCGAAATCGTACATTATTCCCATTTCTACGGACAATATGGAGGCCATCATAAAGTACCCATAGACAAAATATATGCACGTCATTATCAAAAAAGGTGAAGAGAATTTGGGAGACTTAGTACCCCAAGTTTCTACCAACTCTTCACAATTAAAAAGCCAGTACCTAGTACTAAGAAATTTCATTTTTGTAGAAAATATTGAAAGAGTGTAGCTTTAATTTCCCTTAAATGGGCATATGATGCGYATGCTAAGTACCTAACTATGTATTAGGTTTTAATACGTATAGTGTATACTGATAAAAAAATTATTGACAAAAAATGATGTATTATTAGTATTTAAATATTATATTATTCTCTATACCTATAATGGAAAATATTAAACTTGTTGATTTGGCTGAAAAGAGAAGAGTACGTTTTTATCGAAAACGCTTATGCCCGATCTCGTATTGGGGAAAAATATGTTCCATGAACAAAATTTAAATGTGAACTATACGAAAATGTTTATGCACATCTTATATAACTATATAAATTCGTTCAGCTGAACATTTGCATGGCTTCTGCGACAAAAACTTGAGACAGAAAATCATATCATTTTGAGCGTTTAGTTGAATAATTTAGTTAAATATTTGGTTCAAATCATAATCGACAAAAATATGGTAATCAAGTACCTATTTGAAAAATTCAAAAACTCCAAATTTTAATACATACATACTTTGAGAGTAAAAATAGGATGAGCAAATTTAAAAAAAATCACTTTTTATAATGTATTATATATGCAAATGTGTGATAAATAGACACTTTATTAGGTATTCAATAACAAAACGYGTGTAATTGACACAGCACATCAGCATCGATTAAAACAAATACAGGTTTTACATTTTCTAAAATAAAACTTTAACTATCGAATTTTAATAATATGTATACAATGGATAATAATATATGTATATGTACGTAGTTTATGTTATTCAATTTAGTCTTAGCCTTTTTATGTAACACGGCATGTAAACGACGTGCATTCTGAGAAAATTTTTCCAAGACTCGAGAGTATTCTCAAGTTTTTTATACGTTACTAGGTTATGACGTATTTTATACCTATAACTAAGTTCCGGTCTTGAAATATTCTGTTCTGCTAGTCCAACGTTCACCATCATAATTTGTTGAGTACAATATAATGCAAGTGCAACGATAGTATTAAGTATTAAATATGAATACGTTTTGGCAATGTATACAAATAAAATATTTTTCTTGAAAAATATTGAATTGGATATTTAATATTTCACTGTCAATGCGTGATTTTTTTCATTTCACGTACTCTAAATTATTCAAATATTAAAGTTCTCTTGCATACTTTAAACTACCTGACATACACCCACATTTTGTATATATTATAAGCGATAAGTAATATAGTTATGATAGTATACATCACAAAATATTATCCGACAAAATGCGTGAAATTTACACAGTATACAAATTACCTGAACGGTAAAACTATCCGTATCGATGTTGTGAACACGACTGTATTCGATTGAAACAAATACTGACTTTTCTTTTTTTTTTTTTAACATAAGACTCCAATATTAACGTATTTTAATATGTATATACAAACGTAATACATGTACGCAGTTTAAGTTGTTCAATTCTGTTTTCAACACCCATTTTCATTTTTCCACATGGGTGGTCTCGTGCGTTTAAGAAAAAATGCCATACTATATAGTATATACCTGCAGGATTCTGAGAAATGTCTGTTTAGTAAGTTCTCAAGTTTGTGTCGTATATTTCATACGTATAATTACATACAGGTCTCGAAACACTCTGCTCTGTCAGTATAACAATATATTGTCAAAAACTAGTACCTATGTATAAGATAAACACAGACGATGATAATTTTGTTATTATGGTATGATAATATTTATACTGTTTGGCGATGTATGAATAAAATATTTTTCCTCCAAAGTATCACAAAAAAATAGATTTTTTTTATCTCGGTGTCAATGCATGATTTTTTTATTTGGCGTAACCTAAATTATTTAAATATTATATTTGTCTCACACACCACATCGGTTTGTCCTTTATACTGCACATACATATATATATAATATATAATATGCACTAATAGTATACACAATTAATTATCAGACAAAACGCGTTTAATTAACACAGCACACCAGAAGACCATCATAACTCCTCGTATCAATAGTACGAATTCTGTTTTTTATTTCAAAAATAAAACTTCGATTATTGAATTTTAATATGTATTGCATCTATAATACTTTCGTCAAATTTGCAGCTTACGTTATTCAATTATTATGATTACAACACTCATTTTATAATCATTTGTTTTTAAATAAACCCTTTAGAAATTTCGAACGAGTTTCACATTAAGACTTTAATTTAACATCATATAATATTTACCTACAAAAACATATTATTATATACAGGTACATACTAATATATTCTACACGTCTGTGTTTGTGTATTTTATTTGTCATCAAATGATTTTATCAAACAGGACATCGGTAATAAATTATTAAATACATATCAAAAATACTTAATATGCACTCCGAATTCAGTTTCCACTGTTAGTATGGCGATGATGAATATATTATACTATACATATTGTACGCAAAACGTGTCAATTTATAGTGTTAACCAACTTGACTATGTTAATGTTCAAGTTATAATTTATATTTAGGGGTTGTTGAATTTTATCATTCAACATTTAAATAACAGTATCGATTTCAGCTGTAATAATAAAACAACACACACGCCCACGCCAAGCAATACCAAGAACGGTTATAATATTATTATTATAAAGATTAGTACCGATTAGGTTTGCGATCAATCAAATGTGTTTACAGGGTACGAGTGACCAAACTTAAAAAAAAAATACAATAAAATGGTAAAATATATTATGGTATCTATTTATTTTTAAAGTTTTTGAAAACATATCTCTAAAAATAAACAACCTATTAAAACTATTCATAACTTTTAATATTTTGTAAGTATGTAGGTATGTATTTACTCCATACAATCATGTAATACCATTACTAATAACTTTAACAGACGAACGAGCGAACATAACGGATATATTATATGGTGTTCCAAACATGTTAAATTTTTAGAAACCTAACATGGAATATTCGATCAAAATTACCAATGAWTTATATTCCACTTAGTTTAAAACTAGAGAAATGAATACGATGGTGATTCGTCCAATCATTTCAATCATATGTTTAATCGTGAATCCGTGACTTATGTAT